TTGTCCAAACTATTATCAAAATATCAACTTTTCATGAATTCAGAGTACTGATGTACTTAATTTCAATTAAGGCTATGTTTTGGACCATATTTAGCATAATTTATTTTTTATCTCGAAAACAGATAGAGATAGGTATAGGACATTATTAACAAAAAAGTACTAAAATACTAAAGCGATTCCAAAAATGTATTAATATACGGGGTGTTCCATTTAAAAAAATATAATTGCTAGGACTTTTTGATAGAAGTGGCAACGCCGCAATGCTGAAAATATTTTAGATCGATAGAACAGGTAAGGAAATGTGAGAGGTGAAATTTTCAGAAAAATCATGCTTTGCGTTTTCCAGAAACGTCTAACCTACCATCGACCGTGAGTCACGCTGTATATATGATCCCATCAATTAAAGTCTTCATTCAGAAGTATAATTTACGACGGTATTTACTTACTCAATCGGCCGCCGTGTTGGTCGGTGGTTCAAGCCGCAGCCTGAACAAACAATTTTCACTTGCTATCACACTTCAAAAATTAAGACCTCATTTCGACTTCTGAGGGTTGTCGTTCGTAGGGGTGCGACAGCTAATAAATGGAAAAACATATTTTGAACATATTTTATTTTTTAAGTATGTATTATAATCTTCATCAGATTTCCATTGATCTGTATATAATTCCAGACACTCAGTAAGAAGTTGAATTCACTCGAATATTAACACATTTCAAATTTGTAGTTTCGATAGCTTTTTGATTCATTGATTAGATGATTTCAATTTTAATTTCTGAGCTTCCATTATCGTCGAAAAGAGATGAACAATTAAGTTTTTCAGACAAATACCAGAAATGAGTGCTACATTTTTTTTATGCTGCTTCTAAAATTTTTCAATTGATCAATTTATATTCCAATGAACTCGTTGGTTGAGCTACCTATCGAACGCGTCCCCTGGTGGCGTAACAAAAATGTCCACCCCAATCTACCGCTCAGAATGAGGCTGAGCATAGCAGATCACCTCGTGATGTATTACAAAGGCGGCGCATTTGCGGCGCCAAGGCCAAAAGGAGAAAGATAGCGTAAGAGGCAGGAGTGACAGCAACTATAAGTGCACCCTCCTCCTCCCCCACTCCACCTCCAAGAGCAAGGGCACTTCCTGCAGCGGGCGCCAAGATCTCCGCCTTGAATAAAGGCAAAGAACCGGCTACCCCTGCAGAAAAGCGCCCTCACTTGAACACCTCCCCAAGGGAAACCCAGGAAAGTTGGAGAAGCCGTGCAACGATAGTAATGTCGCTGCACCTTCCAAAACCTTCGCGGAGGCCGCCGTGGGATACCTCAAGGTTGCCAAAGGGAGTGTGTGTTCGGCGTGTCTTGGCCTACACCTGCTGATGTAAAGGAGATGTTTTCTAGTGACTTGTCCACCTTCCTGGAAAGGACAGGATGGATGATGACCTAAGAGGACACCTCTTCGGGAGGATGTACAATGGGTCACAAGTGGACTAAGTTCTGTGGGTATACACCCACCCTCCCTACTATATACATACATACATATATATTCCAATGAATTTAAAAAAAATCGCGGAGCTTGAATTGACAAAGGCGCACAATACCATGCTTATACACAGAATAATGTTATAAAAATACAGATATGAGGGAGTCCTTGGCTTTCTACTCTGATAAAGAAAATTGTTCCTGGAACAGAACATTTTTCAAGCAATAAATGGCTTTTGAAAGCCATCGTGCATGATGTGTCGGTCCAGGATCTTTGAAAGTAGTCTTTTCCGGGCACAGTTTCCCAAATACACTGACGCTAGTAGAAGAAGTTTGAAAATTGAAATATGTGCGAAACTTTGAATTGTAGTTCATTGATATGATGATTTCATAGTAACTATGGATTGAAATTCATCTATATAAAATGTCGTTTCAGAAATTACTCTGTAGAATTTATTGTAAATAATATTCAATGTGAAATGAAAAGTTTCAATTTGAAGAAAATTTGATATCACTGATTATTAACATTCACCTTTCCAACTATACAGCTCAAAAACTGTTGATCGGAAAGTGTTTGCTCAAAGATTTTTTTGTAGCAAATTCAAGCTCCTCCCAAAGCTTCACACTTATTTCCTTCTAAAAAATTGTTTTTCATATCGAAAAATCGAATTGAAACCGAAGAAAAAAGAGTTCCGGTGTTATTCTTATGGGAAATCGAATTTTTGAATGAGCTAAGCCACCAATTGGCTTTGAAAAAAATTAACGGAAATATTATATTTTTATAATTTGTCAGATTTTCAGGTAGAACCGGGAAAAAAACTATCACCTGAAAATGAAACACCCAGGTGTATAAGTATTGTTATAAAACAGACTCAGAGAAATCAATACAAGAAAAATATTTTCAACATCTCAGGAAAATTTTTAAAAGGAACAAAGTTTGATCACCCAGTACATGAACAGAATTGCAGTTCACTGAGCGAAAATTACGTGACAAAGCGAGGGATATGTCAGAAAATCAAAAATTGACTATAAAATTAATTATTTCAGAATGAATACAACTGACAAAATTTGCACAACACTATCAATCAAAAATAATATTGTATCTGTTGCAGAAAATTGAAAAAAACATAATAAAATCATCATAATTGATTAGAAATGATGAAATGTTTGAAAAGAAAAGTTGTAATCAGCTTCCTCAGTAACGAACATTGAATGATGCTTGGATGAAATGAAGGTATTTAGAAATAAGTGAGGGTGAACACACAAAAGAGAAATGTAACTAATTTTAGAAGTATCTATAAAAATTGTAAGTTAACTAGTTTCAGAAATATGAAACTTCGAAATTTGAACTTGTGACAATTAGTGATTCGTATTTAAGCAACTGAAATGTTATTCAACTTTTTTGTCAACAAGAGGATTCCTTCTCAAGCCAAAAGAGAGAAGCCACGTTAATTCCATGCTTCACAAATATTTGAAAATTAAGTCAAAAAAAATTAAAATCCAAGTATTCTACTAATAATACATTAAAATTGAATGAAATCTAATACTACCTACCTGCAAAAGCCAATCCATCAAGGTTATTTTCATCAAATTGGTACATTACTTTACACAAAAAGGGGAGAAACCAGGTATTTATACCAACAATATCCAAAGTTCCAACTTGTCAACGAATATAATATATATGTATATTAAAGACGTGTCCAAATAGACAATAAATCTGAAATTATATTCATGAATATTTCTTGCATTTCCAAATAGCGAAAAGGTGATTTGTGTCAGAACTGATTCTTGACGTTTCCACAAATGAAAGTGCGTTCTGTTTTCAATTCATAGTTCGGGATTAGCATAGAACATATTTTTTGGGTAGATCGATGTTTTGCGAACTTTCATAATTTCTGATGTTCTTTTACACTTTTATTAAATTGTTTTGTATTCATTTTTCGATTGTGTCTCTTCCAAAATTTATCCACAGGTACGTAGATTGTGTTGCTTTCTGGTAAGTTATACATATTTATATTGGTGCTAGAATCCACCTGAGGTGTTGAGAAAAATTCCTATGCATTGAGATATAGGAATTTAAACTCAACAAAAGAGTCGACCAAAATTTATAAACATTGATAATAATTAATAAAAACAACAGAATTTTCTATGAAATTAAAAATTTATTACTCATCCTGTTAGCTACATCATTATAGTATATGTATATGCATCTGTATATTATACATAAACACATTCGCACATTCGCTTTTTTATTTTTATATTATTACTGAAATCAGTGGATCTGTTTTATGCATGGATATGAGTTACTATACTAAATTCAGTTACATGAAAGGATTGTGGTCGAAAAAAAATTAGCTGGGGATAATAGGTATAGAAATGAAAATAACATGGTTGATTGTGAGATAGAATGTATTTTTTGTAATAAATATTAAACAAAAGAAAAAACAAAATTAAGGAGAACAATAATATCTTCTACAAAAGCTGACGGTTGATTCATTATCCCTAGTAGTATACGAAATACGAGTACAAACAAGATATATTTGCATTGGTCTTGGAAATGTTACAAAATCAATAAATTACCTATTGTTAGGGTGTTGTATTTTGAGTGATTTGCAGCCTAAAACTCTCATATATGTAAAATCAAATTTAACTGTGAGTAATATACTTATGATGTACTGTTTGGAACCTTTAGTGTAGTAATGAATATTACTGGCGTTTTTTCCCAACACCAAATTGTTATTTTTACACCTCGACACGTGGTTCGATCACCAAGTGATCATCTTCAAGATCATCTCTTGATCATCTTCACTTGGTGATCGAAACACGTGTCGAGGTGTAAAAATAACGATTTGGTGTTGGGAAAAAACTCCTGTGAGTAATATGTTCATTCTTCTAATGAAATGTGTCCTATGGACCCATTGTGTCCTAGGAAACATTGCAAAAATAAATTTGGATAGGCAATATTGTAAAATTAATTTTTATATCGCTGAAAATTGTTTTATATAAACATTTATTGTAAAATAATAGATAAGGCAAAATTGTAAAATTAATTTAGGTTGGTATACCTGTATGGGTGGTACGCCTGGATGGTTTACCTGAATGGGATGCCTATAAAGCATAAATAGGGCTAGCTCGCATTAGTTTCTAGTTTTAATCTTCCTCTTTGAAGATGATCACTTGGTGATCGAAACACGTGTCGAGGTGTTAAAAATAACGATTTGGTGTTGAAGAGGAAGATTAAAACTTTTAATCTTCCTCTTTGAAGATGATCACTTGGTGATCGAAACACGTGTCGAGGTGTTAAAAATAACGATTTGGTGTTGGGAAAAAACTCCAGTAATATTCATTACTACACCAAAGGTTCCAAACAGTGCATCATAAGTACCACTCATAATATATAACTTTGTGTAGACTTTACATCGAAAAATTTTCTCCCTTGTGAGTTTTTTCAACAGTTTTCAAATTGCAACTGTGACTATATGATTTTGAGCAGATTTCACACTGAAAAGGGTTCTCTCCAGTATGAGATCTTTCATGAATTTTCAAAAAGTATTACTAGTGAATGACTTTGAGCACATTTTACATTGAAATAGTTTTTCTCCTGTGTGAGTTTTTTTATGAGTTTTCAAATTGCTACTATGAGTGAATCAATTTAGCCAGATTCCACACTGAAACGGTTTTTCTCCAGTATGAAATTTTTTAAGAATTTTCATGAATTTGAGTTAATTGAAGTGAACACAATTAACATTGAAATGATTTATTTCCTGTGTGAGTTTTTTTATGATTTTTCAAATGGCAACTCCGTCTGAATGACTTTGAGCACATTTCGCATGGAAATGGTTTCTTCCCTGTGTGAGCTTTTTCATGAAATTTCAAGTGACACCTCTGTCTGAATGACTTTGAGCACATTTCACATTGAAATGGTTTCTCCCCTGTATGAATTTTTTTATGAGTTTTCAAATTGTAACTCTGGCTGAATGACTTTGAGCACATTTCACATTGAAATGGTTTCTCCCCTGTGTGAGTTTTTTTATGAATTTTCAAATTGCTATTATGGATGAATGACTTTGAGCATATTTCACATTGAAATGGTTTCTCCCCTGTGTGAGTTTTTTCATGAGTTTTCAAATGGCTACTTTGACTATATGACTTCGAGCATATTTTACACTGGTAAGGTTTTCCTCCAGTATGACATCTTTCATGAATTTTTAAATAGCTACTGCCGGTAAATGACTTTGAGCATATTTTACATTGAAATGGTTTCTTCTTTGTGTGAGTTTTTTCATGAGTTTTCAAATTTCCACTTTGAGTGAATGACTTTAAACGTTCATTAGTCTTCTTCCTTGCATGTGTCTTCTCATCAACATATAGATTCACTAAGTGAATTTGTAGTTCTTTAGAAATTATTTCATCCTGACTTTCAGAATGAGTGATTCCAAGATCTGCGAAAAGAATAATTGTATTGACTATGATAAAATCAACATCTGTTACAATTCTATGAAAGATAACAATATATTTGGTATTCAATGGTATTCAATGTATATCGAGTGACAACGAAATCATTGTACCCTGCGTCATCTAATCGTTTCTGAAGTGAGAAATTCGAAATTTTAAACAAAGCAAAAATTAAAACCTATTTTGGTTTGACCCAAATGGAACCCCAGTGAAAAAATGCTAAATACAACCCTGAACAGATGTTTAGATTATTTGATGACCAGGTAACCCTTTCATCTCAAAATGGCGGCGTAGTAGCGTTTTTCTCCAAATTAAATATATCGGCACTACGTCATCTATGAAAATATTGTCAAACAACTTGATGTGGTGAACTGGTGTTTTCAGTCCAACTGATGAAACTACCGTGTAGTGAAACGCGTCTTGAATCAAAGTAATAGTGTAAATATTATGTAATTATTTATAAGTGGTGCCGTAAAAAATGTTCTTGTCACCTGGTATTCAACTCGCTCGATGTTGCCTGGAGTACAAATTTAAAAATCAGGAATGATGTACACTTCAGTCATCTCTTGCCAGAAATATTTGTGGTAGGCACGTGTTAAATATTATTTTCAAAATTACTGATTCAAAGTTTATTAATGAAAAGTCTTTTGATGCGAATTTTTACATATTTTCACCCTATCAAATGACCTGGAAAAGTAGGATATAATATGCCCAGTCGGTGGGTATATTACAGTGTCATCACCAAAGTTATGCACCACATGGGAAACTTCTTTAGGGTTTTTCGACAAAATGTTATTCTTGATAAAAGTTTGTGCATCCCCTAAAACTGAACATACACCAACAAAATACAGTAAAACATACGTAATATACGAGGAGCCTTCAAATATTTGATTTTGAGTCATGAGTAAAGTACTCTTATTTTGAAAAATCTCGGAAAATGTTATTTAGACATGTTATTCAACAATAAAAAATACTTTCAGATTTGAAGTCATGGCCATCTAAGTGAAGTTTTATTTTTTTACAAATTTTTTTAATGGGCACGGTAAATTTTCGTTTTGTGGACACCCGGCGATTTTGAAAAAATGTTTGCATGTACTTCATTCATTCATTCACTAGGTCACCTTTACACCTTATTCTTCCTTCTTTGATACTTTTCACTTCAATATTAAACATTTTTCTTATAAAAAACTTAAGTTAAAAACGAATGCTTCTCCTGGTGATATTATTCTATTTTTAGGTTAGTTACTAGTGACATTTCAGAAAAAAGCGGTTGGTTTTTGCCGCTGCCTACTATTTCAAATTCGTAAAACACCACCAAAAACCAATTTATGATCTAAAGAATGAAGGTAAAAAACATATGAATTACTTTAGGAATATGGACTGCATCAGTCATACCAACCGTGCCATTAACCTTAAAACGTAAAATAAAGAGATATGTAACTAAAAAGCAGCTCCGTACATTTTTTAACATTTTTTTTTGGAAAAATGTTGATTATTGAAGTGAAAAGTGTCAAAAAAGGAGGAATAAGATGTAAGGTTGACCTAGTGAATGAATGCTTGTGTTTTCAAATAGTTTATTTTGTGAAAAAGAAGGCTGAAAAGTTGCCCCTTTCAGAACTTTGAAGGGCCGTAACTTTGTAAATAAGGAAGAGCGCCGCTTTTTTCTTTCGGATTCGTAATCTACGCATCAAAATACGTAAGTACACGCAAACATTTTTTCAAAATCGCCGGGTGTCCACAAAACGAAAATTTACCATAGGCACTACGAAAAGAAAAATTTGCTAAAACGATGAATAGACAGCATCCTGTATAAAATGTTTTATTTTAAAAGCCTGCAATATTACAAATTACATAACTATGGTGTTAACCACAGTCAATATTTTGAAGAGTAAAATAATTTTCAGCACCAAGACTAACACCGAAAATTACTAAAAATTATACAGTACTGTAAAAAGAACTTGATATTCAAATCACAAAACATCAAAATAAAATAGGTATTTCGGATCAAACTCGTTGATTTTCTGGAGATTTTCGTGTCCAAAATATCTCCAAAATAACCTCCAGAAAATCAACGAGTTTGTTCCAAAATACCTATTTCATTTTGATGTTTTGTGACTTGATATTATAACAAGAAATAAAAAAAAAATTATTTTACTCTTCAAAAAAATTGACCGTGGATACCACCATAGTTGTGTAATTTGTAATATTGCAGGCTTTTAAAATAAAACGTCTTGTACAGGATGCTGTCTATTTATCGTTTTAGCAAATTTTTCTTTTCATAGTCCCCATTTAAAAAAAAGAGTTAAAAAAATGAAACTTCACTTAGATGGCCATGACTTCAAATCTAGATGTAATTTTCAATGCTGAACAACTTTCTCAAATAACATTTCCCGAGATTTTTCAAAATAAGAGTACTTTACTCTTGTCACAAAATCAAGTATTTGAAGGCCCCTCGTATATTACGTGTATTTTACTGTATTTTGTTATTGCATGTTGTTGAAAAACCCTTAATAAAGAAGTTTTCCATATGGTGCATACTTTGGGGATGACACTGTATATTGAAAGATTTTAGGTGCATGAAATATGTTTCACTGTGTACTCCTCATATTCTACGCATTTATTTTTATCATAAAATAGATTGGTGCAAAAAATGCACTGTATATACTGGTACTGAACAAAAAAATATACCCAAGCAAATCAGCGGTACTTTTTATCAACTGTTTTATTTTCAGTTCCTTCCTTAGTGATGATGTACACCAAAGAGTATATGTCTGACCTTGAATGCTCAAGAACGTACATACACCTAATTAGATTTAATTTACTGTTAAAAATAACCCTTGCTAGGAAAACACAATAAAAGTTCATAAAATTTTCAAAATTCAAGAATGACAAGAGTCTCACACATAATCGATGTCAGTCAGTTTTAATTGTATTTTAATTGTATATGGCTTCTAAAATCTATATAAGCATATCTATTTGAACTACTTTTTGCATACTGAATGCGACAAAACCTTAATAGATTGAAGTAATGAGGTACCTGATATAACGCCCAGACTGGGTTTAACATCATGAGTCATATCTTCACCAGAAATACCATTTGGACAGGTACAAACCCCTTCATGGCTAACAAAACTTCCTTTGCATCCCTCACAGTACGAGCTTACTTCTTCCATACCATTTTCAGATTCAACTTGTTCTAGAAAACTTTCATTCATTGATAGATTCACTTCAAATTCATCACATTTTTTTCCTTTGTTGTTGAAAATCTTTGCACTAGGTTCGACTTTTACTCCATTTACTTGGAAAACAACTTCATCGTCATCAGAGTCAATCTCTTCTTTGATGAAATTTTCGCTTCTGTCGGAAGCCATGTCTTGAAATTTCCAGAAAAGAAATTCAGCCACAATGCCACACTTGTGAAAAGTCTAATGCTAAATTACGTCAAATACTTAAAGTATATCTTTTACCACTCAGATACGAGTCCCAAATCGTTGGTGGCGTTCATGGGCGTCGAAAATTTTCTTTTCGAAAGGTGTAGATAATATAAAAATATAATTCAAGACAATTCAAGTAGGTTTTTGGGTAAAAAAATTTGTGTACTAGATATTTTATTTCAGCCCGACAAAAATATTTTTGGATTGTTGTAATATTAGTGCCCCAATCCATAGAAAAAAATACGGCTCACTGAAAATATTTATTCGGCATTACTGATTATTAATAATCATATAATAACATTTTTTACTGTTTTTTGGGTATATAATTGCGGGAGGTTATATACCCAAAAAACAGTATTTAGTTCACAACAAAATATCTCATGTTTCAATTAGAAAAAAACTCTCTTTTGCGAAACATTAACGGATTCTTCTTCTGGAAGGATTGAATTGAATGTAAATAAGAATTATATTAAGATAGTAATACCTTTATTCAATTTTTATCAATACATATGTGAAGTGAATAGTAAAGATAAGTTTCATATTCTCCATATCGAATACTTACTTGAACAAATGTAAAAATGATCTTTGAAAATAATTAATTTATTATAAAACTGCCTTTTTGTTTCTTTAAAATCAGTTTGCTTTGCTATAAAATGGAATATAATATCTACACAGGGTGCAACAACGATAGCTCCTATAAATATCAATATACAGGGTGTTCAATGAATGTATGACAGAGCAAACTTAGGTTTTTTTGAATAGAATACCCCAAATATTTTCAGTCGATTGAATGTCTTGGGTGGAGTGGAATGAGGAAATTTTTCAAGCAAATATTCTTGACGACAGTGTATTTTCATTTAGTGTTCATAGGTTTACAAAACGTCGCTTTTTCTATAAAGGGATTGTTGATTCTGTCTCCGTATTTTTTCCTCGGCTTTTCAAGTGAACCAAACTCGGTGCATAGTTCGATGTGGTTGTCGTCTTTCGGGATACAAGTTTAAATATATTTCTGATATCCTGACACTGTTTCTATCGTATTTGTAATAAATTTGTATTATATCTCTTTTTTCTTCATTTTTGACCAAAAATTCAATGACTTGTATAACAACAAAGTGTCATTGAGTTCAACAAATCGAAAGTCAAATTTAGAAACATCAATGTCAAAGACTATTATTATAAGAATACATTTTTTTCAATATCTCCAATTTCTTGAAAAAGAATGATAACTTATGATACATAATTGAAAAGGTAAAATCTGGTTCTATCCAAAATAGAAAGAATCCAATGTAGCGGTGGCCGGAAGACGAAACGTCGGATAGCAAATCTGAAAACACCGTTATGTAATAGGGAAAAAAGGCAATGTGGAACTGCAATTTATTTTCGAATACTTCGCAAAGTAAAGCCAGAAAAAAAATAAAAACCATTTTCCAAAATTTCTGTTTTTCCGGATATCTTCGGATATACTCGTAATTTCACAACTTTCTCAAAGGCATATTGTCAGTCAGGTGAATGCGCAACTTTGCCCCAATTTAACCATCTTCGTATCTCTCATAGTTGGTGGTGAAGATCGAATTTGAAACACCCTGTATACAGTGATTCTTTAATTGTTTTGAGGAGTTTATATTAACATAACATTATATGAACGTTCATTTAAGACATATGTTTGCTTGTTTTATGTGAAATTGAAATAGACTTCAAGAAACAAAAGAATTGTTCATATACTAACGGCTACCAATGTATATAACGACTTTAGACAGTATAATTGTTGATAATATTTAAATAAATTGTTAATCTCGTAACAAAATGATACAGTTCACCAACTCAGCTATTAATCTATAGCATTGTATTCACATCTGACTATCCAATCAACTATTTGCGATGCATCTATCAGACAGAGAATTTTATTGACATCGAGATATTTGCTGTCTGCTTCCTTTTTTCATTTCAAAGCAACGTCTTTTGATAAGCAAAATATACGTTGTGTTGGCATACCTATCTGCAGATATCTGTAGGCAATAGCAACAATCTGTATTATGCCACACATTTTTTTAAACAACGAATAGATGACACGATAATTGCGGAGCTCCACAGCAACGTGCCGTTCAGGCGCTAATACGATTTTTCCTTAGGTTAATGTGTGATGTTTATGCTTCAGCGATTCGCCGATCTGATTTTTCACGGGTACTCGAGGTTATTTTCGCCTAGGGTTCAAACACACCCTCTTTGATTTTGTGATACATCAGAAGCTTCGCTCTTTAGTTCTGGGATTTCAGTAGATAATACAATTATCATTCGTTACATCTTTCTCAGTTGCCCGCTTGACATATATCATTAAATCACACATTTAATAGATACCTACAATTAAAGAATGGGGAATGTTCCTCCTGACAAAAATCAAGTAGTTTTTATATTATTTCAACCTTTTTCTTAAAAAAATTATTTAAATATTTAAAAAAGAGGAATGAAATAATGCATTCAACATTTAAAGGGATTCGTTTCTATTTCACCATTTGGCAACAACGGTTATAGGTAATAAAGGAGAATTAATCTGTTACCTGTATGAGACATACAAATATGACATATTTCAGAGGCGTGCTGTTCTGTTTACTTATGTTCCGAGTTTCGAGACATTCTGTGACATATGACGATTTGTGCACCTAACCTATATTCCTCTATATAAATAAATAACAGAACAACTATTGTTTATGTGGCTTGTAGAGGTAGTATTGAATTATCATTTATATATTGCCTTTATTGCTGATTCATAAAGATAATTTTCCTTTTTTAAAGTAGAATATCTAGGTACGTATAAATTATTTCAACTTGATATAGGCGCTGTTGCCAATATGTGAATTAGAAACAAATCCCTTTGAAAATTAAAACCCAACATTTGAAACATCAATTTGAATACTTTTCGAAGTGAATTTGAAAAACTCATGAATTAAACTCAACTTTATTTTGTTCAAACTTGCGTTTGCTGTAATAACCCAATTCAAAGTACGGAGGTATACGGTAGTACAAAACATCATCGACGGTTTCGAGGAAGGTATTTATACATCAATCACACTTGTAGATCTCAGTAAAGCGTTCGATTGTATTTCTCACGATCTTTCAATAAAAAACTTGAACACTATGGCGTCAGAGGTTTTCCTCTTCAACTGATGAAATCATATCTTACAGCAAGAACTCAGTATATCTCCAATAACTATCCGACTTACGTGAAATAAAATATGGTGTGCCCCAAGGGTCTGTCTTAGGACCCCTTTTGTTCATTATTTTTCACTACCTTTTACCGAACACTATTGTCATCTATGCTGATGATGCGACATTGATTAACAGACACTCAGACTTGCGCACTCTTAAATACATTGAAAACAAAAATTGAACTTTTTCGCAAATCACACACTCTCAAATGGTGACACTGTCAAACTCCTTGGAATAACTTTGAACGATAAACTCAACTGGTCGGCTCATATAGATGAATTCTGCAAAAAATATCCAAATACAAATGTTCTGCGTCAACTCAAAAAGTTTGCAAACATAGAAACCTTATTGAGTGCCTTTCATGGTCTCATACAATCCCATTTAAATCACGGTATCATTTTATAGGGTAATACTCCAAAATCAAAAATAGTCTTCATTATTTAAAAGCGGGCTATAAGAGTCATAGCTAATGCAGGACATAGGCCCGCTGTTTGCCGAGTATGGAATAATGTCTGTACCTTTCCTATACATATACCAATCACTACTACATATACATGAAAACAAAAATGCCTACTCAACAAATGCGGAAGTTCCATAACTACAGTACCAGAAATCAAAATCTGCTAAGAGAATCAAGACATCGTCTAAGAAAGTCAGTCAGAAACTCTGTTGATATTAGGATATATAACAAATTACCTGACGAAATTAAAAACCTAAACTATAATCAATACAAAGCAGAAGTCAAGAAAATATGCTCCCACCACTGTTTCTACACAGTTGACGAATTTATGGCCTGCAATATATAAAGTTTTGTCCTATTTTCTGTCACACTTTTGAAACATATTCACAGATCTGCCTCCCAAAATATTTCGCTAATATACACCGCTAATAATTTACCTGTCTGATTGTCTGCTTGGCACTTTTTATCTACACTTATAATAATAATAATAATTTATGCCAGTCAGACCACAATTCAAATGATATTGGAATAGTCAACAAAAGAGAACACAGCACATCTATGTATAAAATGTTGAATAATAGTGAAAATTATAAAGTAATATCCTGATAATTATCATCGGTCATATACCTAAGAGTATAAAATACAAATTTAATTTAATGTTTTATGTCTATCTGATTTTTTGTCTTTGAGTGCATACTGTGTTCTACTATTTTATTCATAAAAATACATACACCTCATCACCTGCTACAAATGTAATTTGTCAATAAACATCTATCTATTTATCTATCTATCTATCTATCTATCTATCTAAATAGTCGTCACCCCTCCTTACTTTTGAACATAACAAAATATTAAGGTTGGACAAAATTTACGTGTAGATGTATCAATTTGGATACTTTTTGATAAGAAAGATAATAGTCTTGCATGATTCGTTGCCGAGAGGGAAAAAAATCCCCCTTCAACGAGAAGAGGGATTTTTTTCAGCTTGTATGATACGTATTATAATTCTCCATCTATTTTCACATCTATATCACAGCTTCAACCTGCTGTCATATTTCTCTAGGCTCTTCACTTTCTTGTTGATATAATCTGCGGTTCCATCTTGTTATAAATCAGAAGAGTCCATTAAAATGTTAAGCGGATCTATATTTTCACAACTCCCGGTATATCTCTTCCTGATCTGAATGACGTGCACTCCTACTAGTATAGTTCAAGTAAACGATATAGTGCACCCTACCTTCCAGCAGTTCCCCTTTAATAAAATAGTTAGGGAGCTAACTAACTTTGTTATTCAATAATCATTTCTGATTATATAAGAATCACAATAACTATAATGAACCTATACTTA